GTGTGTGTGTGTGTGTGTGTGTGTGTGTGTGTGTGTGTGTGTGTGTGTGTGTGTGTATGCGCGCATTCAGGACCCATGCGCGCATGCGTACAAATGATGGGCGGAGCTTTAACTTTTTTCAGGAAAAGTGACAAAGTACAGGTGCGGACGGCCAACGAAACATGAAGGTAATTAGATTTCTTGAGATTAAGAATCTTTAACGCGATTCTCATTTAAGTACTAAATGTATTCACTTGCTGGCGATAGGTTATAGTTATGATTTAAGGGAGAACCCATCGAATGACAGTGTTTGGAAACAGAAAAAAAAAAACTTTTCTGCTAGTACCTTTGACTGGTTTGACAACAAGGACAACGTTCCCTCAGAAGGAATGGGGATATGATACTGAACCGACAGCTGAATAACAAAAGAACAAGGGAAGAAAACCCATTCAATGTTTGTATGGAGAGTCTGCTACTTTTCACCTATCTGTCTTGGTTGTGTTTTTACGTATTCATTTTTTTTTGTTTTACAGAGATGGATATCAGGAAGAAACTGGTGATAGTTGGGGACGGTGCATGCGGAAAAACCTGTCTTCTAATCGTTTTCAGCAAAGACCAGTTTCCTGAAGTCTATGTTCCTACAGTGTTTGAAAGCTATGTGGCAGACATTGAAGTAGATGGAAAAAAGGTGAGCCTGCAGTCTACCAGCTGGAAATGATATGATATAATGAAATGATAAAAAAAGACAAAATTTTACCATATTAGCCTACTTTTTGTAACCATTTGACAGTAAGTTCTGAAAATTGCGATCACAGCATACAACAGCAGATCTTGTAAGTACTGACACTTTAGACAGGGTCTGCAACCTGCAGCTCGTTAAAAATTTGACCAAAAGTAACATGATTTTTTTTTTCACAGCAAGAAAGGCTGTCTGTCTAGTCTGTCCATTTGCAAACATGTTCAAAACTGCTAATACAATGAGTGAATTGTGTTGATTTGAGCATAAATATTAGTAGTTTGTTGACCACTTCAATAATCCATCTTCCAGCCTTACAGCCTGATCTCTCTWTTTTCTCTCTCTCTCTCAAATCCATCAGGCATTTTTTGGAATACCTGTAAGACAAGTTGTCAAAGAAATATCATGAGTTCAACGAATAGCAATAAAAAAGGTTGTTTTTTCTTTAAATTGGTATAAACTATATATTTTTTTCTTGTTTACATGATTATGATATTTTGTAACCTAAACTGGAGAAAATAATATTAAATGTTCAAATTCACTATATATATTTTTAATTGTATGTCACCCACACTGACCAGAAACCACCCATTCAACAAACCTAAAGTGACCCATGTGCCACCAGCTGATCACAGTAGTARTGTGTTTTACGGCTCCGGACACAATTTTATTAGAGAGCCAAGGGGAAGAAATGGCTCTTTTAACYGTAAAAGGTTGCTGACCCCTGCTTTAGAGTCTTCTTATAAGGATTTAGATTAAAAATATATATATCTTAGTATCAATATCAAATTAGTGATTTCAAAAAGAACATTAAAACCCTTTAAAATAACATGAAAATCATACGATTATTTATGAAAGTTATTGTTTTTATTCAGGTAATCAAGTTCATGATTTCTACAAGCTGAACTAGTAGGGCCTTTGTGACCATTTTGCCTTTTTTTCCCCACTTATAACTTAAATGTTCAAGGTATTACCATGAAGTTTTCAGAAATGATCCATCTTCTTTGTTTTTTGGAAGCATCTTGTATTTTAAGAACAAAAATGCATGACAAAATCTAGTTAAAGTAGCAGAAAAAAGGTTTAAAATGATGTTAAAAGGCATCCCTACCTCTTGTCTGTTTTTCCTGCTGTTAGAGGCTTTTTTCCTCAAGTTTCTCTGTCATTTCATTCAATTATTGTTGTACCTGAGTGATTRTCTTGTTGATCAGGTGATGCTAGCGCTTTGGGATACAGCAGGTCAAGAAGATTACGATCGACTGAGGCCTCTCTCGTACCCAGACACAGATGTTATTCTCCTGTGCTTCTCTGTGGACAGCCCTGACAGTTTAGGTAACTCCTGAGTAACACTCAATATTTATTGATTGCAGTTGAAATAGGGTAATGGATACAAGATGCAAAATACTACATTTTGTTTTCAATCGATCTTTTAGATAATATTCCAGAAAAGTGGAATCCTGAAGTGAAGCACTTTTGCCCAAATGTTCCCGTTATCCTGGTGGGGAACAAAATAGATCTTCGCAATGATGAGTACACCAGACGAGAACTTGCCAAAAGAAAGCAGGTGTGGTGATTT